AGGCAGGAGGATCGCCTGAGCCCGGGATTTTGAGGGTGCTGTGAGCTAGGCTGACGCCAAGGCACTCTAGCCGGGGCAACAGAGTGAGACTCTGTCCCACCCCCCAAGAAGACTCAATTTGTTTGAGGACACCCTCTCTACGATAATCCAATCTTCTTTCTTTCAACACACTATTTTTCCAAACTATTCACCACAGGCATCCGACATCTATGACGGCGAATACTGCTTACATCCCAAATAGTAACAACAGTTTGAAGAACAGGTGCAAAACTATTTAGATGCACGCTTTCTTCTACTAAGCCTAAACTGGCCCTGGAAAGGAATTTAAAAATAAACACAAATACCCCAAAAGTTAATCATAATACTCTTTTCCCAAAAAAAATGGAGAAAGCTTGAAGTCCAAGATAAGAGCCATAAACTAACAAAGTCTTTCGAAAGTTAAGTGAGGTAGCCTTAGCAAAGGCTCACATTATGAGAAACGAAGTCAGGCTCAACTATGAAGGGTCCCCAGGACATTTAACTTTGCTTCTGCATGAGTTAGTAACGTGAGCCAAGTACGTTTTACTTCAACCTAACATTAAATCTTTTCTCAGAGACAGTGTGGTCTGGCGTTTTACGAGTAAAGAAGGGGATTTGTAGAGCTAGGGAGAGGTCTACTGACGGGTACTCTAAAAGAAAAATTCAGTGTTGAAAGCGTTGATGAGTCACTAACTAGGGAATAACTAGAGAATCCGAGTAAGGCAGCATCTCAGGTAAGAAGGTACTTAAAGTTGATGGTGGGAAACGAAAACTTCACCGGTCAGCGGCAAGCCATTGTGCTTGGTAGCAGCCCTGGAAAGCAGCGTGGCTGTCAAGGGGCAAGTGCGTACCAAATCGGAGGGAGGGGGGCAGACATGCCAAATAGGAAAGGGGGGGTGGTCCGGGAAAGGTGGTGAGATGCCCATCCCAGTTCCTCTCCTCAGGTTCTACATCTAAAGAGGAGCAAACAAAAGCAAACTCTGTGCCCAACAGCCCCAAACCGGACTCTCCCACAGAGAGGTGCTCGGCCCTAAGTCCCGGAGGCCCGGGAAGGCCGCCTCCGGAGGAGCCCCCGCAGACGCCATGCTAAAAGCCAAAATGGCTGCCCCGAGGAAGCCCGCACCGCGTAGCTAGGAGAGGGTAGGGGAGCAAGATTCAGCGGGAAAGGGGGAGGGGGGCTCCAGAAAAAGCCGCTGCCAGGACCATCAGCCCGGAGCAGCACAGGTAGGTTCCTCTCGGCCTCCCAAGGCGCAGGCTCCAGCTCACGGGAGTCCCGGCCCCACCCCCCCGGCCGGGAACCCAGCCGCCGCAGCCGTCCCGCACACCGACCCCAGCGAGGTACCTGCAGTTCGGCCCGCTCCACCTCCCAGTGCGCCCGCTCCATCTCGAACCGAGCCCACTCGTGCTGGATGTAGTGCAGTATCCCTGGTATAGTGTACTGCTGCGGCCGGGACAGCTCGGGGCCTGCCGCGGGACCCGCTCCCTCGGAGGCCGGGGGACCCCCGCCGCCCGCCGCTCCATTCCCCCCTGGCGAAAGGCTCAGGTTCCCCGCCGGTCCCTGCGGCTGCCGGGGAGGGGCCGCCATCCCGGGGCCGCCACCACCGCCTCCGGCAAGCTCGTCCATTGTGTGTGGGGCCCCGGCCGGGGCGCAGGGCGAGACGCCGACAGCCGGGGGAAGGGCTGGAGAGGGTGGCCCCGCGCTGGCGGCGGGGTGGAGGCCGGCCGAGAGAGGGGCGGGGAGGGGGTCGCTGCTGTGTGCCTGCCGTGGGTCAGAGCAGGGAGCTGCCGGTCGCCGCCATTACAATCCCTCCTCCATCTGCCCGTCTCACTCACTCACTTTAGGGGAGGGGGGGCCGCAGCGGGAGGGGAAGAGGGGGCAGGGTTGGGAAGGGGATAGACGTAGGGCCGCCGCCGCCGCACAGCATGCCGGGTAGAGAACGCCGCTGCCGCCGCATGCTTAATAGCCAAATAGAGTCCGGCCTCACCCTACGCAAGCGTACTGAGAACACACTCCGGGTCGCCGTTAGAGGGCGGGGAGGAACTCAGGCTCCGCCCCTAGGCCCGCCCTCAGACCGGGTCCGGGAGTCTGGCGGCGGTTACTGGACGTTGGGGCTCGGACTCTTGCTTTTGGGAGTGAGTCGGCCCTGGGCTTCTTGGTCATCAGTTTCCTTCGCACAGGCAGAGCCCTGGCGCTGTTTCCCACCAGAGGGTCTCATCGGTGTGCCTGCTTTCCGAGCTGGGCTGTCGCCCTGGCTGGCCGCAGCCCGTCCCGAATTCCTGACGTTTTTTTCGCATTCTTTGCGTGTTTCAGGCAGTCCCAAAGGGTCGGCCCTCTTCCTCTGTCCGTCCCTCGCTCTATCTGTGGCTTCTTAGCACCAGTTTCTGGGATTTGAGAGACGTTCCCTGTTGGCAGATAGCCCAGGTCCTTCCTCGTCTCCGTGTCGAGACCAGACTTTGGTCCCATTTCTGTGCGCCCGGTCGCCCGTCGTAACTTGTTCCAATTTGTGTCCCCTCTTCTTTCCTATTCTGGGATGGGTAGTGTTTTGGAGGGTTGGAGAGGAGCAGACGCGATGGTTTTCATTCTTGGGGGGGCGGGAGAAGAGAAGGTAGTGAAATCCTTTAGGTCTTGACGATGGTGGGCAAAAGGAAAAAGGTAATTTTGAAGGAGACTGACTAGACTAACAGCTTGACATTTGAAATGTGAATGAGCTCACAGATACTGTCATTAATGACAGTATATTTTGATCGAAATAGAAAATAAAAGCATTGCGAATACAATTTAAAAACCTAAATGAACGGCTAAAGATGTTTTCCTGGGTCTTTAAATGTTGTTTAAGTGAATATAACATACATATTAGAAGACAAGGTTAATCTTTTAAGTACACTTTTAAGTGGGTATTTTTATGTGCTTAGTTTCCCAGGAAATATCCTAATACACTAGTAAATTTCTAAAAGTTAATATAACTATCGGTAATAAGCATTCGGTTGAAAAATAGGACAAAAATAATATTTAACAACATAAGGAAAAGAGGTTCAGTAATTACAGTTATACAGGAACATTGCATATAAAATTGGTTGCATTACTTTTTTTTTCTTCTCCACTGCAAAAGCTAATAAAATTTTCACTATAGAGTAATAGCTACCGATCACTCCGGATATAATTGCAAAGAGATAAAGTAGTACATGTTACTTTATCATGTCTGCTCTACTGTTATTATACTTTAATGGAAAGCCAATTGGTCTTGTTACCCATGCTGCCATGTTTTATTTCTATATGAAATGAGGTCTTAGTCACAGTACTACTACTAAGAACTATTTCTCCATATTATTAAAGTACTATTTCTCCATTTTAAAGATGTGTTGATCAACATATAACCTGTTTATTCATCTTATTCCTTTCGGGGGGACTTGCTCAAGACCCGTTACATATCCACTAAGAAACATTTGTGAGAAGTTGTGGTTGGCCTGCATGATGATAGCATCAAAATGAGAAGAACAGCCTGATGTGGTGGCTCACACCTATAATCTCAGCACTTTGGGAGGCTGAGGCAGGAGGATGGCTTGAGGCCAGGAGTTTGAGATTAGCCTGGGCAACATAGCAAGACCCCCATCTCTACAAAAAAATTACAAGTTAGCCAGGCAGAGAAGTGCATGCCGTAGTCCTAGCTACTCAGGAGGCTGGGGCAGGAGGATTGCTTGAGGACAAGAGTTTGAAGCTGCAGTGAGAGTCATGACAGCTACTACACTCCAGGCTGAGTGGCAGAATGAGAACCCTGTCTCTTAAAAAAAAAAAAGGAAAAAAGAAACATGCACACTTACATTTGCCACTGGTACCTCAAGCTCAAGGAAAGACTTGATTTATAAACCTTTTTTCTTCCCCACCTATCCTCAAAACAGAAACAAAACCTCTGCTTCTCTTTTTAATACCGTTACTACCTCATTAAGTGGTTCTACAAACCTGAAGCCTAGCAGTCATTCTGGTACCTTTGACTCACCCTCCATATCCAGTTCCTTTCTCAGTAACATCCTATCGCATGTTCTTCCTCTTCTTAAAATATTTTAGCAATCTCTAAATTTAGAATAAAGCCAAAATTTTAGCTTGTAAAGATGCTTCAAATTCTACATGCATCCTATCACACCATCATGCCACCCCATTCTTCTCTCCAGTCAAACCTGTTTTTGGTCCCTCAAATGTGTGCTGTTTGATACTATAATGATTTAACACATGTTATGCTCCATTGTCCGTCCTTCCCTTCTTCCTTCAAAACTCAGCTCAAGCATTAGCTTGTCCAGGATGCCTTCTAGATCCCTGAATTAGACATCCTGTTCTAGTCTAGTAGCATCCCATATTTATCTTTTTAATACTTATTACACTATATTTAAATCATCTTTATATTGGTTTGGTTAATAACACTCATACTAAACACTATGAAAGCAAGATTTGCGCATAAGTTTTTGCTTTGCTCACGTATTTTTTAAAAATTTCTTGATTGGCTACTATTTTTCAGATACTCTGCTAGTCCCTGGTGATCTACTGTGAACCAAACGGACATAATCTCTGCCCTCACTGAGTTTCTAGTCTAGGTTAAGCAAATTAGCACCAACCACTCTGGCTTCCTCAGTGTCTTGTCCAGATCTGTCTTAAAACTACCTTTTTAAATTTCAAGTAGGGCCGGTGGCGTGGTGGCTCACGCCTGTAATCCTAGCACTCTGGGAGGCCGAGTCGAGAGGATCACTCAAGGTCAGGATTTGGAAACCAGCCTGAGTAAGAGTGAGACCCCGTCTCTACCAAAAATAGAAAGAAATTAATTGGCCAACTAAAAATATATATAGAAAAAATTAGCTGGGCATGGTGGCGCATGCCTGTATCCCAGCTACTAGGGAGGCTGAGACAGAAGGATCGCTTGAGCCCAGGAGTTTGAGGTTGCTGTGAGCTAAGCTGACGCCATGGCACTCTAGCCCAGGCAACAGAGTGAGACTCTGTCTCAAAAAAGAAAAAAAAAATTAAATTTCAAGTATGCTCCTTATTTCAAGAATTGCAGTTAAACATGTTTACATTCACTTTAACTATGGTTTTATCCTTGGCTATGTTTTTTCTAGACCATAGAGTCATTTATATGCAGGATTGCAGCTTCACAGAGGGGCGGAGCCCATGGCTCTGTTGTTTGAAACTGTACCCCCAATTTCAAGGAAAGGGTGGACCCCCAATAAATATTTGATTAATAACTTAAATTTAGACTAGACTAATATGAATATTGTCCTTTCAATTCAGTTGTTTTTGTTGGTTTTTGTTGTCATTATACCAGCTGTCTCTTAAGGTTCAATGAATGAAACTGCTGAGTTTTAAAGTAAAAGACACCAAGATTTTTCTTCTTTGTTGGGAGAATGTTTCATAAATTATGTTGTGCTTTGTATCCATGACTCCTGAGAACATTGCAGTGAGCTTCTAGAATCTTGTACTCTGTAGGTATTGAGCTTTCCCAAATCACATTATCACCTACAACTCACCTGATTGGAACTCGTGTCTGTAAACTATGGCTGAGTCATTTCCTCTTTCAGTCTCACCTTTGAAACTTCCTATTTGTGCTGTCCTTTCATCATTCCTGTTCATCTCTCCTCTGTGCCCATAGATTCTCCCAGTTTCTATCTACTGCTGATTATCTTCAAGAATGTCTGTAAATGCCATCAATTTAGAATTTTAGGTGGTTTTGCTTTCCTATTAGCTAATCTTAGAAACTATGTGCTTATTCTATTTTTGACCAAAGAAGGACTTATCATATTTCATATGCATGTGTTAATGTCAGCAAAAGTACCTTAAGGAACTCCAGGCTTTTAAGTCAGGAGTAGATAAAACTCAGATGCCTTCTTACCACTTATTCTAATACCCGATGTTCAAAGAGGTTTAACCCTGCATTTGAGAAATATATAGCTCTCCATAATTACTCACCCGAACATACAATTTTCTATCTTGCTAACTATGTACCTGGTATCCTTCTACCAAAGAGCTCAAACCGGTTCACAAATGCTAATCTAATCACCTTTTATATCATTTGCAAAAGCTGTGACAAGTATTTTTACCTCCATAGTGAAGAGAGAAAACTGATAGAGTTCTTGGTCACTTTAGCAAGTCCTTAATAGAATAGGAAGTAGTTCTCACTCTTACATCAGTGAATGTACCAGTATATATGTATTTGGAAATAAAGTCTTCCTTCACTATTCTGCCTCCTACTGTCCTATGATGAATGGGTTCAATATTACTGCCTCTGGTTTCCAAATCATTTACATGTTTGAAATTATTTTTAGATAGTTTCAGGGTAATTCAGTCACTTAGGGAAATGACATAGTGTTTACATTTGTAAACAGAGACAGCAGAGAAATATTAGAACCCAGAGAAAGAGCTGACATGTGTTCAAAAACCAAAGGAGGAGGCATCTTTGACCTGCACCACGTTTTAACCTACCAACTAAGATGAGGTATTTACTTCTCATTACAGTAATTGCCCGTGGCTAAGAAAATTGTAGAAATACATGCAGGGCACTTGAACCACTCGGATAATACATTGTGTGGAAAAGGAAAGGGACCTTTACAAATTATAAAAACAAACACCCAAACCTTTAGGACACTCAGCATGCTATATAAAATTCTAGTCCAAGTTCATTCTGGAATTGTCTCCTGGGTAATAGGAGTCAGAAAAAAATAGGCTGTGATGATAACGTATAATAGCTAACACATAGAGATGTCAAAATTGAACAAAAAAAAAAAAAGATTGCCTGAAGCCAAGTCCCTCCTGGACATTGGCTAAGAGTGAACAACCAGGTCTGTAAACACGAGAGCAAAATGACTGGAAAATGTGACTGAATGGGAAATTGCCAAAACTTTCCTAGGTAATAATTTAACAGGCTTGGTTTGTCTCCCATTGGAGCAGCAGGGGAGAATGTTCAAAAGAATGATACCAGACATGGACACCTGGCCATAGAAATCTATGCTAGAGACAGTGCTCCCTTCGAGAATGTTTTAAATTGGCATAAATTCACAAAAACTTATTTTTTACAAAGACATTTTTAAACGATGGCAAACTTTAGTTTTGTCTTTCTATTAATAGGCTAACATAAAGTACATGACAGTTACCCCAGAAAAAAAGATCGAAGAATTCTTTAGAGGCATTTAAAATAACTCCTACTGCTCTTTGTTTCTTTTGTTTTATAAGGTTTTCTTATAACAATTGGATATTTTTTAATTGTGTAATAGACTTTTTTTACTTTTTATTTTGAAAAATTTGAATCATGCAAAAACAGAAAAAAAAGACTCTAATGAACTCCCATTGTTAATAATTATAAGATTTTGCCATGCTTATTTCATCTATGCTACTTTTTTTCTATGTGAGGAAAATTTTAAAATAAATCCTAGACATATTATTTCACTGGTACATACTTCAAGTATCTTTAACAGATTAGAAACTTTTTTTTAACATGCCACAATACCATTATCACAGTGACGAAATTAATGGTGATTTCTTTATATATCGTAATCCCCAGTCCATATTCTATTGCCCCTGATTATTTCAAAAAAAATTTTTTAAAGAGTTGGTGATTTCAAATCAGGATCCAAACAAAATCCACGTTTCATTTGGTTGTTATGTCTTTATTTATTTATTTATTTTTGAGACAGAGTCTCGCTTTGTTGCCCAGGCTAGAGTGAGTGCCGTGGCATCAACCTAGCTCACAGCAACCTCAATCTCCTGGGCTCAAGCAGTCCTTCTGCCTCAGCCTCCCGAGTAGCTGGGACTACAGGCATGCACCACTGTGCCCGGCTAGTTTTTTCTATATATATTAGTTGGCCAATTAATTTCTTTATAGTAGAGACGGGGTCGCTCTTGCTCAGGCTGGTTTCGAACTCCTGACCTTGAGCAATCCACCGGCCTGGGCCTCCCAGAGTGCTAGGATTACAGGAGTGAGCCCCTGCGACCGGCCATGGTTGCTGTGTCTTTAGATCTTTTTATTATTTGCTTTCCCATCGTCTTCCATCATCATGCCATTTATTTGTTGAAGAGACCAGTTTATTTATCCTGTAGGATTTCCCACATTTGGCTAATTGCAATTTGGCAAAATAATTTTGGCAAAAAGACTTCTCCATTAGACATACAATGTACTTTCTGTTGCAGCAGACCAGGTGGCACGTGATATCTAGTTATCTCAGCAATGTTACTAAACTTGGTCAGCCTGGCCTAGCTGTTGTCAGCCTTACCTTGCTAGCTGGCTATCAACATACATATTGTGCTCTACCTCTCAGTGCAGGGTCTGTCCTTTTGCAAAGGAGCTTCCATTGGATGTTTCTGGGAGCTTTAAGGTCCTGGATGAGAGCTTCCCTTGCATTCCTTGGCAATAGGGACCCTTACCAGGCCTCCTCCAAGTTCCCACTGTGGTTCTTAGGTTCACAGTTACTCTAGTGGGACTCCTTTCTTTGGGTGATGACTTGGTGGTGATTTCTGGGTTCTTTGGAGCTTGTGACCCTCACAAGTCCTCATTTTCTAATCTCTACTTCTGCCCGGACGTGTGCGCAGTTGCGTGCTCGCTCTCGCTCTCTCTCTCTCTCTCTCTCTCTCTCTCTCTCTCTCACACACACACACACACACACAACCTCTACTCTCTACCCTCTGCCTTTTCTAGCTGCAACCGTAGTTTGGCCCTGCCCATTAGTGTTCTAGAGTTACAGGGGACGGTTTTCTCCACCTGGTTTTTGGTAAAGATTGCCTATGAATGTGTTCTTTTGCTATCCTGGTTGCTCTGACTGTTTTTGTGATGGGATCCCAAAACTACTCTGTTGCTATCGCCCCTGCTTTCTTTGCCTCTCCTCACTCTTGCATTTTTATATTTTAAATTGCCTGCTTTTTAACCTAAAGGTGTATATTATAGCCCTGCTATCGAAATATTTTTATCTGAAGTAATTGTGATTTTTATACTATTTCAAAAATTGTAAAATATAAATGAGTACAAATTTAAGTGTGAATATCCTCTGGGCAACAGTTGGACACGCTCTTGTGTCTGACAACTTTAATCTCCTGTTTACATTTTTAGCAGGAGCTGTAACATGTTGCTATACTTTATTGTGAAATTCAGAGTAGAAAAAAAGTGCTTCTGGGCTAAGGGCAGCCAACCAGGCCATGGAAAATCTCTGTTGTCTACCCTGACATCTGATCTGAATGAGAATGGTACCAAGTTTACATCTGTAACTTGCCATGGACATTTGCCTGGCATGTTTTATTAGAAGTAGAAAGGAAGATTAGCTCAATTCTCTAAAAGAGCAAATCAGACTTAAGAATTTTGGAAGTATTAGATCCAATCACAAATGGTAAACACACCATAGTGAAAGTAGTAGTTTGAAATTTACTGTCCTAAACTTTCGCATTATCTGATTGATCCACTTCTTAGGCATTTTAGGCTCCTGTTGAGATCAACTAAAAGCAAATAGTCCATTAGAATTGTACCTTTTGTGATATGCTCTAGGGTCAAAATCAAAACTGCCAAAACATGCATATTAGCCAGTAAAAGCTTTTGTGTAGAGGGTACAACTGGCCAGAGCTAAATTCACACTAGTGAATGGGGAGTGACCGTATGCATCTATGGTCTTATTATAACCATCCCTGAATCACTAGTCTTGGGTTAAACCCAAAAGTAATGGGGTTAAACCCAGAGCACTGGGGGAGAGCACAGACTTTGAAGCCATACCTACTGATCTTGGGTCCTTCCTCCAGCATTTTACTGAGTGGCCTTTGGCAAGTAACTAAGTTTTCACATCTGAAAAGTGCAGATAAAAACAGTGTCTAACTTACAGGGCTATTAGGAGGATTAAATGAATGTAGGTAAAGTGTTTAAAACAATGGCCTGGAACCTAATAAGCACTGTGTAAGCATTTTCTCTTGTTATTATCCTCTTTTCCTGAGTTGGTAAATTAGGTCTTACTACACATTATATTACAAAGAGTGAATAATACCTTTCAAGTTATAGCAATGGAGGACTTTCACAACTACTATCAAACATTGGGAGCATTAATTACTTATTTAAGTTAGTTGTTGCCATGTCACTCACAAAGAAAATCCTGTTGGGTAAGTAAACTGATCTCCAAACTGAAGTTTAAAACAGTCATTTTTGTGTTTCATTTCTTCTTGTAGAGCTATGAGCTGCAAAAATAATTTGTTATTGGAGCCCTAATTTTCTAAGTGATATCCTCAGCCCCAAAATATTAATGTAGCTTTTTTTTTTTTTTTTTTTTTTTTTGAGTCAGAGTCTCACTCTGTTGCCCAGGCTAGAGTGCCATGGTGTCAGCCTAGCTCACAGCAACCTCAAACTCCTGGGCTCAAGCGATCCTCCTGCCTCAGCTTCCTAAGTAGCTGGGACTACAGGCATGCGCCACCATGCCCGGCTAAATTTTTCTATATATTTTTGGTTGGTCAATTAATTTCTTTCTATTTTTGGTAGAGATGGGGTCTCGCTCTTGCTCAGACTGGTTTTGAACTCCTGACCTTGAGTGATCCTCCCTCCTGGGCCTCCCAGAGTGCTAGGATTACAGGCGTGAGCCACATCTCCCAGCCTAATGTAGCTTTTTGATAGAGCTTGATTTTAACTCAGGAAACACTTTATTTGATTAGGAAGATCTTAAATACATAACTAGTTTCATAGTATTATTTTCTTGTATACTTTTAGGAAAAAATTCACATGGTAATTAATTTTTCCCCAGGTAATGTGAACATGAGAGTAAAAAACTTTGTAATGGTGAAACAAGTTAATTGCATATAAATTATGGAATGATTATTTTACAGAAAGTCTCCATAATTCCAGGACTATACTTAAATTCATTTATTTCATTTATAGTTAACTTGTCAGAGATATATTTTCTGTAAAGTGAGATTCCTTTAACACTGGGGCTCTTATCAAAAAAAAAAATAAATAAAGTGAGATTCCTCTGCATCTCAGTGAAGTTTATTTCTTCTTTCTTTAATATAAAAGTATAGGAGCCATAAGCAAATCAAATTTTTATTCTAAATTCCTTTAGTTTGATTTAAACTTAAAATCTTAAATCTGTAGCATTGCACTTGACCCTGTAAGAATATTCATAGACCTGTTATTTGAATCCTAATGCAATGCAATTAGACAATCACTATCCTTCAGAAGAAAAACTACACTGTAGAAGAAATATATCTTTGTTTGTGTTCACAGTTTTCATTGAGAATCAGATATCCAATTATAATTAAACAAAATTAAGCAGGAGTGGTAGTGCACACCTGTAACTTCAGCTACTCAGAAAGCTGAGGCTAGAGGATAGTTTAGGCCCAGGAGTTCCAGACCAGCCTGGGCAACATAGCATGACTCCAACTCAAAAAAATTAACAAAATTAGATAACTTAAGAAATACAGGGCCGGGCGTGGTGGCTCACGCCTGTAATCCTAGCACTCTGGGAGGCTGAGGCAAGCGGATTG